ACATGCATGGTGAACAAAATGTCATTTAGTTTTCCGGATCTATTACTGTATCAATGGTAAAATCCTTAAATCAATGTTTTTGATATTTTGAGTTATACATGTATGATTGTTAGTTCGATTCCATCAAGCATTTTTTACCTGTCCATTAATTCCAGCTGAAATAAAGTATGTTACAGTATTTTCTTGGCATTGATACCTTCAAAGGGCCCTGTTTCAAAGACATTTGTACCATTTTGTGGTCTTATATATGGACTGCATAAGTATATGTAATTTATTTATTGAGAAGATTGTATGCTCTAGATCTCTCCTAGTAAAAATAAGAATATAATGTACATGTAGAATATCTTGTAGTGTTATCATGTACATGTGTAATAAGCTGCTGGGTTGTACATGTAAGACTGTAAATTATGTACAGGTGTGCTTTAAAATAGACTGATACATTGATGTACCCACAGTTATTGTTGATGGAGAGCCTCGTTAGTGACTCACATTTGCACGATGTTTACGATATGCTAATCAAATCCATTATCTTAAGATATCCTTCACCTCTCCACCTCTGCAAATACATGTACACTATAAACAATATGGTGTCTGGAACCATCACTCATGAAAATAACTTCCAACCTACACAAACTATGGCAAACCTGAATCAGATGGCAGCTCTCAAACATTCACAGGGATAAAATTCATTGAACAGAGGCACATAAAGCAAAAATTGGCACTGTAATTAATAAGTTTTCAACAATACAACATTTGCTTACAAAGTATCATATCATACATTTTGTATCATATCATATATCATATATCATATCATACAATAATCTACATTTACTGAGTGTGAAATAAGTATACTAAAAATAATGATTCTCAACTATAAAAATTAGCATTAGCATCAGTGCCAATGTACAAATTCATCTTTAAAAAGTGGTCAAAAGCATTTTACCTCAAAATCTTAATAACACTTTTTTTGAAAGCGTGTCATCATATATGATTATATATGAAAACAACCTCGTTATAACGCAATAAAAGCATATGTCAAGGCTTATTATTGATGACTCTCCCATGGAAACTGTGCATGAATATCTATCAATAGACTCAGTGTAGTGGAATAATTCTTCTTTAATACAGAACCATGGAAACAAGTTTGATTTCATTTCCAACTGATTGTTTTCAAATGTATAGAAATAATGTCAGTGCTACACCTATACCCTATAGCTTGTAATATTATAAACATATTGGCTGTCATTTTGTAACAGTAACACACTTTGCACAAAAAGCCTCATAGAGTTTTATCTCTGCGTTTATGTAAATATGCCGGTAATTGGTTTATTCTAAACCATTGGTGAAGTATATCACATGATATGTGACGCAAACAAGGATTTGAAGAGAAAAAAAAATTATGTAGCGAGCAGTAAATCATTTCAGAAATGTTCAATTTGTTAAATTGAGTGTTTTCTTTCCACAAAATAAATAATCAAGTAAAAATGTTACAGCTGTAAATTTTACAATTTTCTTCTCTCTTGCGAAAGTTAAACCTAAAAAATGTAATTTTGAGAATACTAATGAGCAGTTGATAAATTTGGACTGATTTAATTCCAACCTTCATTTCAAAATTTTCTTTTTCTGGATATTTCCATTACATTAGGCAGTGTAACATTAATATTTAAAATGTCACTACTCATACACAATTGAAACTATAATGTTACCAGGAAAAGGTCAGTTAATTCTTCCGCAAATCGTGATCAGTTGAAATCCGTTTTTTTTTTGCCTTGTGCAGTGACAATAAAGGAGCAAGGTAACATTTTGTGTATAGAAGGGCAGGTGTCTGTTGTTTCTATTCACTTGTTAAATCATTATTATTTTAATATCATCATTGTCAGAATGCATCAACCAATTTCCAGTCATAGTACTACTTGAATCGCTTGACATTGATTTAACTAATGTGTTTCATGGATTTCGTGAAGTTTCAGCCGTCCACATTGTCGCTCTGAGTACACTTAGCTTAATTTGTAGTCAATTTGTTGTGAATTCGGTATTACGAGTTTTCTGTATTTTGATACAATGTCATGTCATAATGTCAAATTACGAAATATAACACAAATTTTAGAATGCCCATTTGCCAAGAGACAAGTTCCAAATTATAAAAACAGTTGTTTTTTGTGCAATAATGGGGTGGGGGGGGGGGGTGCTGTGATTTTTAGCCCACATAATTTATTTGCTGGTTTTCCTGGTTCCCAGCATTCTGATGATCTGAATAGAACTCAAAACTTGTCTATTGAGATAGCCATGGTACAAATGTGTAATGAAATGCAAATGGTTGTATATGATAAATTACCTTGTATGTATGTCCTATAACATAACACTGGTTATCACATATTTTTGGTCATCACATCTTGCCAGATATGTTGGATTAATAAAATTAAATGAAGATATTAGGCTATTAATAAATTTACCTTATTAATTGTCTAGGATTATCTTCATGACAAGGTACATGTACATACAAGTACATTGTTCCCAGAATATGCTACAAGAGAATGCACCATATTTCAGTGAATCTATATGAGAGGGAGAGAGAGACGGTTATACTTGTTTTGCTGATTTGATCAACTACTGGTTCATTCAGAGTTCACTTTGAATACAAATCAAATCAAATCAGTTTGGTGATGACTATATCAAATATTATTTCCTCCTCTCCTGTTCAATTATGATATTTGTGCTTTGTGTTCTTGCAGACATCAAAATAATATAATCATGTTGAATGTTCCAGAATTTTCCATTTCTCTAATATCTTCATTAAATTGATGAATATTAAAGAAATTTGCATATTTAACAAATGAAAACGTGTTGATCCCATTACCTCATTTTTAGTAACTGGCAAGATATCATGCGACTGTCAACTTGCTTACCATGCAACTCAGGTCAAACACAATATTTAAAGCACAGTGGTCGTTGCGCAGCGCGTGTTTGAATTTCATGTAAATAAACAATGTATTTTACACGCGTTGTATACGTCGCTATGAGTCCCATATTGAACAGGACGCAGCATGACGACTGCCGCCCTATAATGTTATAATGTTAGCTCAAATCCGACATGATGCTCTGTAACTTTCTAATTACTGGATTGTATGGTGCATAACTTGAACAATGTGGGACTTGCCTTAGTTAGGTTGGTTGGGGTTGCGTGTGTGTTTGAAGGAGTGGGTTAGGATTAGTTGGTTGCAGTTATTAATATGAGGTTATTACGCGGATACCTCAAAGTATGCACGAAGACAGTACACCGTGAGTATCCATCAACGTGCAGCGGAGGTCGATGTGACGGCATACTGTCTTGAGTGTCTGAGCCATGTTTGTTTTTAATATTGGAGGACACTTATGCACATAATCGTACCATATTTTGAATTCGCATTTTCTATAATGGTAGGATGAAAATACCCTGTAAAATACCGAAAAATTACAGAACGCTGTAACTAATGGCGTCACGGTGACAGATGTATAATAATAGTAATATTTAATGGTAAAATTACATTTATATGTGTAGTTGTCATGTTCGATATGGGTCACATGCAACATATACAACAAATGTAAAATCCATTGTTTATTTACACAAAATTTTAATGTCTACTGCACAGCAACTCTGTTGCTATAAGTGATAGCGGAATACAACAAGGTTTTGTTTATCAGTAATTATGCGCATTTTCCCATACACATCAACCTGGGCAAGGTTTTAATAGTGTCACTATGTTTGTTTATAATAGAATCTTTCTCTGTAAAAAGGAATAAAAAAAGAAGTATACTCTTATATATATAATGGGAATAAGTAACCTATAAAATGCAAATACCTACCTTGCCATATAAGTCAGCTGATTAATTGAATATTTCCCATTGTATGATTAGAGATAACCTTTAACCTCATCTACTTTATGGTAATATTCATTTGATAGTAAAACTTAAGTAGGTTATTATAATTGATGCCAAGGTTTTCATGTCAAGGATTCAAATTATAATAACACTACATGTACATTAATAATAGAGCCTTCCAGATACACATGAAATGTTGGCCTAGATTCTCAGTGACATGTTTGCCATGACTGTTGCTATGGTTTTAACATTGTAAATATATATTGTATTTTTCCACATTGGAAAAGCACTAGAAGGATGAAACAATGTATTCTCAGTTTTACTTTCTCGCCAAATATACTATTTTGTCACAATTTCCCGAAATAGAAAGATTGAGGGGTTTATTATGTAATGATTTATTATTGTTTAAATGCTGTGTTACATACCTGGTACACTATTTGATGTCTGCACAGTGTAATATTGTAATCTTCAAGGAGAAAAACAAATTAAAAAATGTGAGCAAAGATTACATGTATATTACCGGTAAAGTTACATGCTGAGTTCATTCTGATCAAGCTTCTATTTTGGTCTTGGGACATATTTTATTATATGAATTAAAGGAAATATTTAGGGAAACCCCCATGTTTCGAATGACTGCAGGCCGCATTAGTTCAGAACAAAGGTAAATCTTCCTGAATCTTTGCACGTTAGAATGCTATTCAGACATGTTTGCGAATGAAATTCAAACAAACAATATAATTAGAAGCCAAAATAATAGTACAGGGTCCATAGCGTTGGGAAATCCTTTGAAAGTCTTTGGATTTTTTGAGGTCTGAAAAGTCTTTGAATTGTCTTTAAATTACAGGAAAAATAAAAAAAATCTTCTTCATTCATTTAAGAACTTTGATAAGCTTTGGTGATGATGTTGGCCTGAATTAAGGGTCAAAATGTCTTGGGGGGGGGGGGGGAGTCATGAAAGTTCGGAAAAAGGTCTGGAAAAAGTCATGGAAATCATTTGGCTCTTGGTGCTATAGACCTTTATCCAATACCCAACATAAATACCCAACATATTTAGTGTTAGACTAATCAATTGCAGTTCATTCATTATCCAATACCCAACATCAATTAATTAACAAAATTGTGTATTTCTTTTTACCTTTCAGGCATGTGCAGATTATCTAGATCTAGCCCAAACTCAAGGAAGGAAGTGGCAGAGAGCATTACAATATGAAAGAGAGCAGCGTTTACGCCTAGAAGAAACAGTTGAAACATTAGCTAAACAACATAATACACTAGAACGGGCTTGTAGAGGAAATCTAGGTCCGGACAAAGGTAAATCCAAAGGTAGGTGTTCTCACATCTACCTTTATGATGCCTAGATGTGCTCTTTCACCTCAGGTAATGTGATATTGTTGATTCCTTCCTCTACCTGTACTGACCATCATTCCTATGATGCCTAGATGTGCTCTGTCACCTCAGGTAATGTGATGTTGTTGATTCCTTTCTCTACCTGTATTGTCCCTCATTCCCATGATTCCTAGATGTGCTCTGTCACCTCAGGTAATGTGATGTTGTTGATTCCTTTCTCTACCTGTACTGACCCTCATTCCTATGATGCCTAGATGTGCTCTGTCACCTCAGGTAATGTGATGTTGTTGATTCCTTTCTCTACCTGTACTGACCCTCATTCCTATGATGCCTAGATGTGCTCTGTCACCTCAGGTAATGTGATATTGTTGATTCCTTCCTCTACATGTACAGACCCTCATTCCTATGATGCCTAGATGTGCTCTGTCACCTCAGGTAATGTGATATTGTTGATTCCTTCCTCTACCTGTACAGACCCTCATTCCTATGATGCCTAGATGTGCTCTGTCACCTCAGGTAATGTGATACCGGTATTGTTGATTCCTTCCTCTACCTGTACTGACCCTCATTCCTATGATGCCTAGATGTGCTCTGTCACCTCAGGTAATGTGATATTGTTGATTCCTTTCTCTACCTGTACTGACCCTCATTCCTATGCCTTTGTCCTGCTCTTGTGCAAAAGCTGTAGAAACCTTACAATATACCTTCATAATATGTGTTTAACACTACCACTGCCACCACCACGACGTATACCTATCTGAATTAAATTCTACTATGGTAAATACAGACATGTAGGATGGATATCTTATTCAGCTTCATCAATGTGGTTGTAATACTTGGTATATACTTGTACTACAATTACTAGTCAGGTCATAGACGTAAAACTCATCATTCTCCCATATTGGAATACCCCACGCCCGGTTATTTTTTCACTGCTAAGTAGGCAGCCAACCACAGGAATCTAATCCTTTCTAAGCTGGGTGGTCATACTTAGGACTTGTGCCGCACATTAGGTATCTCACCGTACATCCAAATCATATGCCAACATTGAACTAGTTCAAGACCTCTACATTCATAAATGAATACCCAATACTTGTCCACCAATGAACATCAGAAACAATATCGACTTGTTAATTATACCCTGCCTATGTAATTTATTTTCATACTAGGTAGCGCTACTGAAGAATTTAGTGATGATGATAATGAATTCTTTGATGCTATAGAAGAATCACCAAGCTTTACAACAACAGTGCAGATACCAACTCATATCAAAGGACACAGGTATGTGGTGACATGCACATTTTCAGCATGGGGTTGATTTTTCAGCCATCGGGAGGTATGTATGGGGGTCTAAAAACTAACACTGCGACACGATTGTGCGAGTCGCCGAATGTCGATTATTGCACTCTGAGCACGATTCCCATTGGTTGGTCGAAAAGCGTGAATCTCAATGGTCGATCGATTTACCTCCATGGTCGATATAAAGGTACACCGCATGCCTTATAGAAATGTTCAGTTTTAAATGGTTATTTCGCCGACTGCTCGGGGAACTATGGTAAACAAGTATTTACCGACTACATGCCGCACTGTTCGGTAATCAGCAAGTATTTAACATTGATTTATTAACATATATAACATCCCCCGGAGGGGATGAAAGGGGTAACAAAACACATGCACGTTGATGTTGGCTGCCTTATTACGGTGTAACATCAAGGAGCTGGTAACATTAACAAATGCCATCTTGAAGTTGTAAGGCTTTGTTCGCAACTATGCTCATTAGCATAGGCGGCAGCTGTAAAGCGAGTAGAGCGCGAAGTACGTTTCACACGATGTTACGTTCTTTTTTGTCATTAGCAAGTATAATTTGTTATGACTATATTCATCACTTTGAACTCCCAAATAAAGCGTGTAACGGGTCAAACTGTTTCTAGGCAACCAATATCGTTTTATTAAGAATATTAAGAGAGAAAAAACGTAAAACTGTGTGAATGGATTGAAACTACTGCTGAAGATATAAATCTAAAACGGCAGTGTCAATGGAAAATTAGATGGGTGCACGCTCTCTGCATAAACGGAAACGATTGCTTTGTTTATTTGGCCGATGTCGACAAGCAACAGATTTCCTGCACTCACTTATTCGTCTGATCACTGGCCCTCAACGGTCTCGCGTATCGGTGTCGTCATCGGTTAAGTAGTTTGAACTCTTTCGCGTTGATGTGAATATTTCAGCCTAATCGTCCCTTTCTAACCACTCGCGAAGATGGTCATAATATGACATAGACATGCTTGCAATCTGTTGCGATTCCGATGAAAAATTCTTGAAAAATCAATATAAATTGCATAAACGAGGGGTGAACGCGAAAGTCCTGTAATTTTTCATTGGAATCACAACAGGCTGCGAGCGAGTCTAAATTAGTAAATATGCCGGGTGAATATGACCCTGAGTTGCAGATTTTTTTTTGCCTCGTCTGTCATTGGCGTCTTTGCTTTCTTTCTTTTTATCATCATTGCGTTAGTAAGATGGTGATATTAAAATAGAATATAGACTTAGAAAATAAAACGATTTCTCAGACGAAGTCTTGACTGATAATAATGCTGACAATGGACGTTAGATTAATATGCACTGTTTGCGACAGGAAGCTTGTCACCCATTTTATCAGAATCGTCAACAACAGAGTATTACTGGTAGTATACATATACATGTTATAAACATTATGCAAATATTAATGAAAAGGTAGTACCGTAAAATTCCTAATTGAGGCCGCGGCTTTAATTAAAATTCATTTTTTCAATGGACGAATTCAGATGCGTGAAGTCTTGGTGCGGCTTTAATTAGAGCATTCACTTCGTTAACTGTGGGAATTTTTTTCAAAAAAAAAGGCTAGAAGGGATAATGATATGCTAATGAGATGCACGACACTCATTGCGTGTTTGTGACATTGCAACATTGTTGAGATTCTAAGGCATTTTCGGATTTTTACACACAGACAAACTTATACACAAACGAAATTTCACAGTATAACATACTGCACAATAAATAATATCTACAAATTGTATGCATTTGCAGATTACGTATACTACAATAGAATAGACTAGAATAGAATAGACTAATTCGTTAGCACCGGTATTTGTCACAAGTGAGAGACAGCCGTCTGACACAGTCGATTGCGACATGTTCGACTTCTGGCAGGAGTGACTGTACATTCCAAGTTTAATTCAGACATCGGGGAAATTAAAAAAGTTAATCAAAAAAAAAATGTTCGCATGATAAAAAAAAAAAATACTCATTATATTATTTAATGTAATGTATATTTATTTTCTTATTTTTTTTGATAACGAAAAGTATATTCTAAAAGAAGTCAAAACAAAAACGAATGCATTCTTAGTAGCAAATGATCACGGTATTACGGTCATGCTCCGTTTCACACAAGTGAATAACTTACTTGTTTTCGAAGTGTTACAAT